AGGTTAAATGATTTGTCTCAAGTCTCAGGTAGAATTTAAACCCAGGTCTCCTGCCTTCAGTTCTATCACTCTTTATTCATCACTGCCTGATTTATTCTGATAATTCAGGAAATAAGAAATCAGGCAAGAAAACATTAAATGTGGAATGTTCTAGGCACTAGGGATAAAAATACCATAAAACAAAATAATCTCCATTAGCAAGGGGCTACCATCCTAATAGGAAGATAACAAAGAGCCATATAAGTACACAAAAAATAGATATAAAGTAAATAAATACAAACAAAATTCAAATAAAATTAAAAAATACAAAGTAATCTATCTAGATGTCCAAATAAATACACATAAATAGAATATAAATACACATAAATAGAATAAAAAGAATAAACATAAAATAAATCAGTGCAAAGCAATCAAACACACTTTAGTTGGGGAGTAAGGCACGGGCAGCTGGGGGATCAGGAAAGGTTTCATGTAGAAAGTAATGCTTCATCTGCCTCTAGAAAAAAGGAGAGAGATTCTATGCAGTAGATGGGAGGAGGGAGGGCATTCCAGGCAGGAAGGCTAGACAGCAAAGTCATCAAATAATTAGACCGTTTCAAAGGCAGAAAATATAGGTCAAGAGGACACTAAAGATAATATATATATATATTGTAGCTATCTAACAGAATGAGAACTAAGATTATTGCCTAATGATCCTTTGATACTGTCTTTTGCCTTTTTTGGTACCCCTATCTCTTACCATAGTGCCAGGCACATAGTAGGTGCTTAATAAATGCTTATTGATGAATGCCACAGAAACCTAGTTTGGGGAAGCATGGTATTAAAAGCAACATTTTATGTGTATTTAAGAAAAGATATTGTGGTACAATGGATAGAGCACCAGCTCTGGAGTCAGAAGGACCTTAGTTCAAATCTGGATTCAGACACTAGCTGTGTGACCCTGGACAAGTCACTTAACCTCAACTGCCTTAAAAAAAAAGATTCTAATTCATACTTGTCCTCTCCTCTACTAATACTGAATCAACCCATCAGCCCTCAGACTTGTGCTGCTGCTCTCCCTCCTCACCCCAGTCTTGTAGAATCCTATCGTTCATTCAACACATCTCCAGATGTTCTTAACCTTTCTTGGGTCATGGACCTCTTTAAGAGCCTGGTGCAGCTGAGAGACCCCTTCTTAGAACAATGCTTTTAGATGCATAAAATAAAACATATGAAACCAATTATGTTAAAATAGTCATCAAAATACTTTTGTTTTATAGTGCATGGACCCCAGGTTAACTCTTATTACATGAAGCCTTTCCTGATCCTCTCATCCATTAGTGCTCTCTGTCTCTCCCCCCATACGACTTATTTATTTTGTGCAAATATGCACGTCTGCGCATGTGTATATATGTGTCTATGTATGTATATACGTATGTATGTATGTATGTGGTTTCCCAGTAGATTATAAGCTGCTTGAAAACCAGGGATCGTTAACATCTTTGTATCCCCAGCACTTAAGACAGGACCTGGCACACAATAAATTCTTAATAGATGCTTTTTCATTGATTCTCTTTTCTTTGTCTCTAGCATTGCTGCACTTGACTGAGAATATATACCTGATACTTACCAGGGAATGCATGTATAGATCTTTACTCCTCCTTTCTCTGGTCCTGCTTCCCCTTATCTATCTACCCATCTATCTATAATATACATACATGCATGTGCACACATACACATATAGAGACACGTGTACAGATGCATCAATGCAGGGGGGTATATCAACTTGTGCGTGTATGTATTCATGCAAACACAAACATATATGTGAATAAATGCATGTGGCATACATGTACAGACATACATATATGTATATGCACGTGTATTGTATATTGTCAATATGCATACGTGTATGCATACATGTGCATATATGTCTGTATGCATGTGTACATACGTATATATGTGGAGAGAGAGAGAAAGGGGGGAGACTGCCTTAATCTGGTGAAATAAAGGTCCAATTTTATATGTATTTGGTAGATAAGGTAAGGTATAGTGACCTTTTTTAAAAGCTTTCTTTCCTTGGTACTCATCCCTAAATTTGGCTTCCTTCCCTTCCTTTTTTGTCCTCTCACCCAATCTCATCTTTTAAAAACGTTTTCTGTGCCTTAATTGTTCTTCTTCCACTCGGCTGTCTCAGAAGGTGGTGGGTTTCCCCTCACTGGTGTTTTACAAAAGGCCAGATGAATGACCTCTTTGGGGGGGATGCAGTGGAAGGGGTTCTTGTTCACCTCTGGGTTGGATTTGATGGCCCCGAGGTCCTTTTTTTAAATTCTAAGGTTCTGTGATCCTTTGTTTAATCCTCGCCTTTCTGTTCATTACCTTGCATTCTGTCCCCATCCCAAATCCAGACCCCAGGCAGTTATCTACAATTTTGCTGTGGACATTGACATCTCAGAGCTCACTGGCAGAACACATGCAATTCCTCTCCCCTGGACTGGCTATTAAGCCAGAGGCTCAGGTGAAAAAGTCTGCACTCTACAATTTGTGGGACAGCACAAAACAGTATCACTTTAATTGTTTCCCCTGAAAGGCCTGCTGAAGATGAGAAGCACGATCCAGATAATAACCCCATTGACAGTGACCTCTTTCCTTCATAATCTCACAGGAGACAACAGTGTCCATTGGAAAGCACAATGATGTGAGAGCCAGAGCCCAGAGACCCTGCTCTACAAGGCTGTATGACCTTGAGCAAAACACTGCCATGACCTTGTACTGCTTCTTAGCTTCCCTCGGTATAAAATAATGAAAGATGACAGCTTATATTTATATAGAATTTCATGGCTACAAAGCACTGGACTTAATATTATCTCATCTTACTAGCTGTGTGAGCCTCTGTTTCCAAATCTGTAAAATGGAGATAATAGTACTCACAGTATCTATGTCATAGTTACAAGTGCTCTGTAAGCATGAAGAAGACAAAGAAAAATTCTATTGCTCCATTAATGATAGAAAGCAATTATTATTCCTTAAATCTCATTTAAAGTAAACTCTTTCAAGGTTTTCAAGCTTCTCGAGGCTCATCAGCAAGATGATGGTAGTGGGATTGATTTTTAGGCATGGCATCTCTCCACAACCATTCAATACTTAGCTCTGCGGCTAGCACATAGTAGGTGCTTAATACATGTTTATTGCCTGACTGACTCACTGACCATCTCTGAAGTTGTAGAGAGGCTGGGAACTGTGCTTCCAGAAGAAACATCCACGGAAAACAAGACCACAGACCCTCGAAGTACTCAATTCAGAGTGTCAGAAACCAGTACTCACTGGATCCAATCAACAATGGTCCCCTTACCTTTGTCATCCTGGGCTCCTGAAGTCAAGTCTTATAACTGCAGATTAGTTCCTCATCCAAAGTCCTACTGCTGCCACTCAAAAAGTACCTTTAAACTTCCAGCTCTACTCAAAATAATTCTGATTGCAGAGCAAAGTGAGAGCCACTGCTGTTTTATCCAAGAGCTTCACAAGGAAGTCAATTGAAAGGGAACAGAGCACAGGTAATATGAAAACACCTCCATTAAAAAAATAGGTCATCAATTGAAACAAAATGACCCATCCATCAGATACAGGCCTATGGGAGTAGGGAAAGCCCATTAAAATCTAATTTCACAGTACCTATATGCTAGGAAGCCTGATGCTTTACCCCTATTCACTAAATCTTTTGTATTTTACACTTCTTAGTAAATATGAGTTGGTCCACCCTGGATGTTTGAACATTACCTCTCTAATTTTAACACATGAAAGATTTTATGCTATAGATAATAATGTAGTATAGATATACAGCTCTACATTTCAGGTAATAGGAAAAAAACACTTTTTTTTTTCACAAGACCACAAAGAACTTGCATTAGTACTGGATAGAATTTCCAGTTAAGATTATAAGTGCCAGCTGGGTGTAACAGAAAATACATAGGAGCAGAAGGAAGGAGCCTTGGGTTCTGGTCTCTGTTTTGCCTCTAAATAGCTGTGTATACTTAGGCTAAGTCATTTCCTTTCTCTGGGTCTCAGTTTCATCTGTAAAACAAACGGGAAAGATGCAATGATCTCTAAGGTTTATAGTTACAATATAATACAATCTTATATGCCATCTCTCACTGGCAATTCTTTGAAATCCCACAGATAGGGCTCTCCTTATCCATTTAGCCAGGATACTCTCTCTCTTTCAAGGATCCTACCTTGAAGTAATGCACTTGGCCATTCCTTGCCCCCAATTCTGAGGCAAACCAAGCACTAAATGGACTGGAAAAGAGAGGTGGAATTTGTTTAATTTCCTTTGGATCCAATTTCTGTCTTGCTCTGGATCCCCTGCAGCCAGAAGGGCTCTGCCTTTGCTAAATTTCTAGAAGTTTGAATTTAGTAATAAGTTAATAAAGCCAGTAGCTAGACTTCAATTCTGTGTCCCTTCATCTTAAGTAAGAATTGCTGTGCATTAGAATGTGAAAGTCAGGCCAATTCAGAGAAGGCACATGTGTGTGTACTTATGTAGAAATTTATATATCTACAAAGTATATACACATGCATAATTCTATTTCATAGACTTTCAGAACTTAACTCGTGGCAGGAACCTTAGAAATAAATCATCCACTTCAACCCTTTCATTTTTACAGATGAGGAAACTGAGGCACAGAGAGGGTTGAAGTTACTTGCCAAATGCCACACAACCACTTAAGGGCTGGAGCTGAGACTCCATAAACCTCATGCCTTCTGACTCCAGGTCCAGGGCTTTCTCCATTACTCACTCCATAATCTTCCCACAGGGAATGAATGGTCTTCCACTGTCTGACACAGATAAAAAAAAGTTGAGATGTTGGACAGTAAACAAAACCCTTCCTGTGAAGGAAAACGTATTAATACTCACACAAACAAATTGTGGACAGTAACATGCAACAACTCAGGAAGACAAACAGAAGGAAAAAAAAAGAGAGAGAGAACCACAAAGAATGTAAAGAACCGAAGCTGTCATTGACCTGATTTGTCAGAGCTGTTGCCTGTGACTGGCGGGATGGAGCAGCTGGGATTAGCCTTTGCGCTGTCCTTGGAAGAACCAGCTTTTTGTTTATTTTTCGATGCCTCAAGCGCTTTGACCTTCTTGGCATGCTTACTTCCTTTGTAGTGGGCCTCGGCCTGGCTCTACAAAGGAGAACAAATCAGGCTCATTTTTTTGGCTACTTTCCATACACCACAATGGATGATAATGTAGGGAAAAAAAAAAGACACTTTCAATAATAGGCGCCAATAGAAGTTTAGAATTCGGTTTACATGAGTGTAAGGTGGCAGACTTGTATCTTATTTCAATCAATCAATGAATAAATAAACATTTATTAAGCCCTTTATTATATATGCCAAGTGCAGGAAATATGATGACAAAAAATGAAACATTCCTTGCCTCAACAAACTTACATTGGATTGTAAGTTTCTTGAGGGCAAGGATTGTTTTTTGCCTCTTCTTGTATCCCCAGTGCATAGCACAGTGCCTGGCATATAATAGGTGCTTAATAAATGTTTATTGATTGATTTGATTGGTGATGTTTCCATGCTTGGGAGATCTTTGATTTTGCTGGTGCTGCATTGGTTGATGGCTCATTAACACAGACTGCAATCTCTACATACCACACCCAAGAGATGGTCTTCATCAGCTGGCATATATACCCTCCCTTAAATCATCACCTGGTGGCCAAACCCTTGATGGCAAATATACACCTGACCACTAGGACTATACTGCTTATTTACTATGGCTTTCTCCAGCTTAAGAGAACTTGCCCCAGGTTGCTACGCTCATATTGCTTTTGAGAAAGAAAGGTCATCACCATCCTATGCTAAGGAGGACTGGGGCTGCAAGGAAGTGTACCTAAGAGATTTTAATGCAGTGGTGTTCTTCAGGGAGGACAGAGCACCCGTGACTGCTTCTCTGAAGGATTTAAACATCTAGGAGAAGGGAAAACAGGCCCCAGGCAAAACTGTAAAGTAGGTGAATCTGTCTTTGGTGTCCATTTTCTCTCTCTATTGCTGCATTTCTCCCTATTTTTCACAGCCATGGTGGCCTCAAACTGTCTTTCAGCAGGCTGCCCCAGGGCCTGCACTGACATGCTCCTCTGCCCAGATGTTCTTACACTATCATCTGAACCTTCTCACTTTGTCCCTTCTCCCCCCTGTTCTCAATCAATGTGGACCTGTTCCGAGTCTAAACCTCCCAGGATTTTACTCTAATCATAAATTAATAAATTTAGCTATCAGAGCAACTGAATATTATAGTAAATAAAATGATCGGTTATGTGTTATTCTCTTGACTGCCTGAAGTAATCTACTTCACGGACAAAAAACCAGAAGTTGTGAAATGAGAGAGATGATCCTGGGGTCTCTAAGTTGGATGGAGAAAGAAAAGAAAGGCAAAGCTATCCTTAAGCTCATTTCTAGAGGAAGTACAGCTAGAACTATGACTTCCCTCCCAGACCAAAGAGAAATGGCCAAGATCAAAGGAAAATGACTGATAAGATCTCCATAATGCCAAACAAACAGCAGAAGATGGAGAAAATATTTAATGGATATTTGAGAAATTCCTGTCTGACCTAAGAAGACTGCCTTGTCCCTTAACACTTCAGTGCTGGGTGCTAATTTACAGACTGATTAAAAAAATACATACATTCTTTGTAATTTAACTTCTAATATACCTGGAAAATACATATGGGCATTTTGGTTTGGCATAAGAATAGTAGTGAAATGCAGACTAGGGTACAGAGTCCATAAAAGGTCATTTTATTGCATCTTTAACACACCTTAATTGCAATGATTTTCTTTCTATCTGCAGTATGCACGTGTACATCCACATATGTGATGATGCTTCTGGTTACTAATCATTTAATTCAACAAGCATTTATTAAAAACTAGAGTAGAGAACAGTCTACTGCAGTGTGTGTGTGGGGGGGTGTCTAGGTATCACTGGAGGTGGGATATTTGGAAAAGAGCTACAAAATAGGAGGCAGCATGGAATGGTGAAATGAGAACTAATTTTAGAGTCAAAAGATGTGGGTTCAAATCTTATCTCTGATACCTAATGTATGAAGAGTAAATTATAATCTCCCTGAACCTAAGTTTCCTTATCTATAAAATGAAAGGGCTAGTCTAGATGGCCTCTGGGATCCCTTCCAATTCTATTTCTATGATCCTACAGTCTATAAGTCATAGCATCTGTCCTTGAGGAACTTATAGAAGTGTGAACAGCTAGAATGAGAAACACCCTAGAGGATAATTTATTGGCAAGAGCAAGCTAACCTAGAATTGGAGGAGTCTAGATTGGGGAAGTCCTCAGTTTCTTCAATCTGTTGAAGGGCCTCTAAGTTCCCTTCTGGCCCTGCATCTCATGAACCTGTTGAATAAGGCAATGATCACATCAGGTGAGTCTTAGCTATCTCCTACAGCAGAGAAGTTTTGAGCTGGGTTTCAAAGAAGATGATCAAAATGATGGGGGGGAAAAAGGCACTTCCAGTGACAGGGATCATCCATGCAAATTCCAGAGATGGGAGAGAGCAGATAATCATAGAAATGCTTTAGGAGAAAATGAGAGGAGGCTGGAAAGTAGGTCATGTTAATAATGGAAGACTTGATCAGCAGGCAGAGAAATTTAAGATTTGATGCCTTGGGCAGGAGGATCCACAATGCAAATTATCTGGATGAAAAATTTCATTCGAGGCACATGCTTCTAGAAAGAGGACAAAGAGCTGGTCTGGGCTCAAGCCTCACCTCTGACAGCTGTAGGCTGTGACTCTGGAAAAAGGCAGTGCTCTGGGCAACTTTTTTTTTTAAATTTTTTTTGGGGGTGCAGTTGGGGTTAAGTGACTTGCCCAGGGTCACACAGTTAGTGTCAAGTGTCTGGCCTAAGGTCGATTTGAATTCAGGTCCTCCTGACTCCAGGGCTGGTGCTCTATCCATTGCGCTATGTAGCTGTCCCTCTAGGCAACTCTTTTAATGCTGTTAAGTTGCAGGTAAGGAAGGCACTGCCCTGTGTTTTTGGAAGAGGGAGCTCTCTAACACCAGTGAAATCACAGGTCTAGTCTCCAGCCCCTCTCCCACATCCCTATTCTTGCAGCAGCTCTCCATAAAATGGCCTGGAGGTAGCAAGAGCACTCCAGCCGCTGGACAGCAGTTGCAGTAAAAATCCAGGCCTGAGACTTACGCATGTAAGAGCGAACGTTTGTCCTTTCTCTAGGATACAATCTGAAGGTGATGTATAGCTATGCAGCCACAGCCACTCACGGCCAAATTGATGTACTCCCCATTAGAATGTGAGCTTGTGAGAGCAGGTACTTTTTTTTTAACCCCAGCACTTAGCATAGTGCCTGGCCCACAGTAGGCACTTAATAAATGCTTTTTGAGTGACTTAGATGTCACAGGTTGCCTCTCAACATTTCACAGTAAGGCTAAACCATCTGAAGTCTACCACAGGGTTTTTTTTTTTGAGTGTGTCATTTGATTTTCTTGCTTGCATATCTCACTTCAGTTTGTTAGGCACAGATCACTTGGCTAAGCTGCTATCATCCCTCCATTACACATGCCCAGTCACGCCTGGTCAGGTTAGAGTGGGCGCCCCTTCCCACCTCTCAGCATTCCAACTCTGGCTGTTAGAAAAACCCCTACTTTGGAGCATGGTCTGCAGGAGAAGCAGATGAAGCAGCTCATCATGCTGAACATTATATTTAACTGTGGTCCAAATCGACAGCCACAGATCAGCAAAACATCCGCACCATACACAGCCTGTCTCTCATCTCTGAGGGAAGTGCTCTCACCTTACTAGCCTGTTTTATATCTTTTTGACTATGTGGCTTGGGGTATGTGGCCTCCATATCCTTATTTGGGCCCAGTTCCTAATTCTGCACATTAATAGTTTAAGGTGTGGTGAATAACCCAAGTATTTTATAACCCAGTTTCCTTTAACACCAGAAGGGCCAGGTGCTTATCAAAACACACCAAGACCCTATACACAATCAGCACTTTTCTTGCATCTATATTTCTAGAGATTAATCACCAGTATATTACACCTTCTGGATGACTGTCTCAAGGGCTTTTACCTGTTCTGTTAAAGGGGGGAAAAAAACCTATTCTGGAGAGGAGGAAGCACAATCTAATTGTAATTTCCAGGTCTTCTGTTTATTTCACTTATCTTATCTTATTTGACTTTATTTCACTTATCTTAATCTCTGCCCTAGGCTATAAGGTTGGTTGAATAGGATTTAAATATATTCAGATAAAACAGGTGGACATACCTAAAACTGCTACAGAAAAGGCTAACTGAATTTCAAGAAATACTACTTGGCAATACCTAGTAATAAAATCAAGGTTGCAAAAGTTACTTGAGCACATTTTAAGTATATATAAAATAGGTGCCTTTATCAAAGGACATATATTAAACAAGTTAATATTGCAATTTGGGGGCAGCTAGATGGCCTAGGGGATAGAGTACTGCCTGAAGTCAGGAAGACTCATCTTCCTGAGTTCAAATCTGGCCTCAGATACTTACTAGCTATGTGATCCTGGGCAAATCCCTTAACCCTGCTTGCCTCAGTTGACTCATCTGCAAAATGAGCCAGAGAAGGAAATGGCAAACCACTTCAGTATCTTCACCAAGAACACCCCAAGTAGGGTCATGAAGAGTCAGACACGACTGAAAAACAGCTGAATTGAATATTGTAATTTAATTAAAACTTAAAAAAAATTTAGGAAAAGCAAGCTTCTTGAAAAGACTTCAGTGGGGTGATCATGCCTCAATGGCTCCATATTTAAGCACAATCAAAAAACAATTTACTCAGTCCATGCAAGGTGCATCATTTAAACACATTAGGTCAGATGCTGGTAGTGAGTAGCTGGGAATATTTCATTTTTAAGGGCTCCCAGAATTGCAGGACACTTGTGTGTCCTCTGGTAACTGTTCTCACCCTAGGTACAGTATTGCTTTGCTGCACTTTGGCTCAAGAAACTTGTATTACCTTAAAAAAAGATCTCAGCCCAAGATACTAGTGTGTCATTTCCTCATTAACTGTTTTCAGGGCTCACTGTAGGACTTTAAGAGTGTCGATTAGCACTTAGCCAGGAAGATACAGTTCAGTGAAACTACATTAAATGCCATGGTAAGTAAGATC